AAAAGAAGCTTGTCTATTTTATTTATTTTATATTTTTTTTACCATTTGCTTTTGTTTGTGCTATTATTTTGCGGAGAAGTGCTCTTTGTGGACGCCCTTGGCTCCACCTCAGATAAACAATATTGTGCAATAAAAGGCGCACAAATTGAATGTTTAACTCGACGGCACAGAAATTATTTGCGCTTGATTGCATGCAATTTGCTGGCTGCTAATGTCAACAGAAGGCGAAGGCGGAACACGAGACTTCTCGTTCCTTTTAGCTTGAGTGTTGCTTTCTAGCATTAATCTAGCCAATCTAGCCAAGGCAGACAACTTCTTTACAGCTTCTTCATTTTCTTGGGCTGCGCATTTAAATTGCCCGCATTTTGCTTAAATTCCTCAGCAGCCCACCTGTATCTTTGCCAGGCAGCAATTTACTTTTTTCCACTTATTCAGTCTGTATATAAACATGTATATATATATATATATATTTTTGTATAGTTACGCTTGATTACTTGTGCGCTGGTAAACAAATTTTTTAGCGGCATCAACAACACCTTTTTTTTTTAGAGCTCCTTTTCGCTGGCGTGCGCTGTCGTGTCTGTTTTGAGGCACAGAAAGTACATAATTTCATTTACAATTTACAATTTGGCTTCTTTATCAGGCGCAGCTAGCTTGGTAATTTTGCTTAAATTCCAAATTAAATTCCACACTGGCGACACGACGCTGTCGTGAGTTCGTTGAGAGTTCGGAGTCAGCCAGCTTCCTGCATAGTTTGACACCTTGTCGAGACTTGGTAATAAACTTGGTAATTTAAGCAATTGAAGCGCCTGCTTTTACATTAAAATGTCTAAAGTATTGCTGCAGCAGCGGCAGCAGCGGCGGGGTCGGACTCGAGTATCTTGACTGATGTTTATGGCGTTTCGGTGCGCCTCGCGCTGTAATACAATTTTCACTAGCACCAACAGAAAGAGAAAAAAAGACTCTGAGCGAGGGAAAACAAAAAACAAATTTATGGAATTTTTAGTGCAAAATTTTTATTTGCATAAGCGCATAAAAAATACTGACACAACATCAGATGTGTGTGCAACGACAATAGCATCCCAACAACAACAGTTCATCTACAGTGGTAAAAAAAAGCATAAAGAATAAATTCGGAAATAATAATTATCTAAACTAGAAGAAATTTCACGCACTTTCCATTTGAAAATATACATTTCTTTGAAAATATACATATTTTTTTTTACGGGACTTCGAATCCTTAATTTTGTGTCCACTGTGCAGAATCTTGGTATATATTGTATTATAGACTACAGAAAATTGTATAATACATAACTTTATTGTTAGTATGCTATTTAATTACAAACTACGCATAATACCCTGTGCATACACTAACCCGGGATTCGAACCCGCAACCTTTTTGTTTCATTTGCCGAAAGTCATTTAGAAAACTGAGTTTTTATTCAAAGCAATTTTAAACTTGTTTAACCCTTAAAAAATTGGTATGAATAATATTTAAACGTGGAAAGCTGGCTGCTTGAATATACCCTGTACTGAATTAAATGCCGCACAGTCAGGCAAATGTGCTTTGAACTTCATTCCGTTAAATTTTTAAACGCTCGTCAATTGTTGAATATTTATCAAATGTGTCACTTAATAAATTGTCAAGCAATAAAATTAGATAGATTAGATATTTAAATTATAAATATTTTAATCTATAAATTCTTTTTATTTCAAATTCTTTATAAAGACAAAACTTTCTTTAACATTCACTTTAAATTGATAACGTCTGCATTTTATTTTATATATTTTTTTATTTTAATATCACATGCGTATAATTTAGCAATTGGCCATCAACAAATAACTCTTGCACCACTGTGGCGCTATGTGGGCTGCCGCTTTCCACGTGAGTGGCATGTCGAATATTTTATATGCACATTTCTTTTTGGGCATTCAAATGAGTACGAACATGAGCTAGAGAATCGTATGCGTGGGCGCAGAGCAAAGCGTGGGGGCAGGGGAGGCGAGCGTGTGCCGGCGATGGGCGTGGCTCATGCAACCGTTTTGGCAGTCATTTGCATTTCCGCAAATGTAATATTTATGACCATTGTGCTCTGCTGGATGTGTGTGTGTGTGTGTGTGTGTGTGTGTGTGTGAGTGTTTGTCTATGCTGTGGCTGTCTGACTTGACGTTTGTTCTGTCAGTCTGTCAAGTTGTTGTCTTCTTCAACCATATGCGTGTTAACTTGTTTTCTTTGCCTGTATGTGTGTGTGTGTGTGTGTGTGTGTGCGAGTGTTTGCACTAAAACATTCATAACATTGAAGCTGACCAAAGCATTTATGTTGTACCAAAGTCGTTGGCCATGTGGCCAGCCTCCGATGAGTTAGCTAAAACAACACACACACACACTCCCACACACACACACATGCACACCCACACACACGCACATGCATGCACATGTCTATATAGAAGCAGAGATCAGAAATCAAATAAGCTCATTGAAGGCATTCTTCCGCACCAGAAACTTTTAACAAAAATGCATTGCTAATGCGATATACGATAAAAATGCACTGAACGAAAAATTCATAAGCAATGCAGACCAGCCTCCGTAACCCCGCACCAACCCCGCACCAACCCCCTCACCAACCCCCTCACAGTTGTAGGCCATAGATAAAAAGTTAAATATTTTGCTAAAACAGTTCGTTTTGGTTACAGCCTGGTCGAAACCTTAGATAGGAGGGAACATTTTTCAATTAGCCTCAAAAACTGCTGACTATAACAAAGGGTCAGCTTCTGTAAATGTGTGTGTGTGTGTGTGTGTGTAGAGCTCACACCTTTTCAGGTGTTAACTTAAGCTAATTAGAGGCGTTTTGGACCCAAGCAAAACAGAGCAAACTCATGCGTAAAGAAGACGCAAATATACACCTAAGCCTTACAGCGTATATGAAACAATCTTTAAGGCAAACGAGCAAAAGATTGAACGACTACGAGCTACCCTGTACACTTGGTATTGCCTTTGTGCTTCTTCTTTGCTCCTTATAAGTGTACCAAAAGTCTAAAGAAACGAAGCACAGAGATAGACATTTGTATATATGGCATACATAGGTTCATGTGCTATGCTTCCCTATGCACATTAACCTTTTTTTAATATATTTAACAAAGGTTACAGGGTATAAAGGGAACAACAACAGCAACAACTTGATAGCAAGGCAATTTGTGCATAATCGAATTCGCAATTTTATAATCTCACGAAGCACTTCGGCTGACTGACTATGTGCCTGGCACAGAGAGGGCTACAGCACACACTCTCCTACACACACACACATACTCACACACACACACACACACTCAATCACACACACACTTACACTTACAGCCACGTGTGTGTATATAGCATGCATATTGTATGACTTCCTTAAGCTCATGAAAGCTGCATGCAGCTGGCAAACATGAGACTTAGCAGCAGGCACAACTTGAACTGTTCCGCTGCCAGTGTTGCCATACATATTTGAAGCCCACAACACTTGCACACACACATACACACACACACACTTAAACACACACACCGTGTCTCATAAAAGTAAGCACTTCAGTGGTTTTGTGACCAATTTTCGCAATGCCACCCAAAATTGTGGCAGGTTTTTGGATTTTTGGCAAAATGTTTTTAGCCCGAGTGAATTTTCGCCCATTTGAATGTGGTTGGCCTTCTGGCCCAAAGAGTTATGATAATTGCCAAAAGGGTAAAGTTCTTTATGCCTTTGCATTGGCTATTAGCAGCCAGCTTGGCATTACAACATGTCGATATTTGGTTGGGTCTAACAAGTAAATTTTCGAGCCCCACATTTGTGAGCTCTTTAATGTCGCCTTCTGGTCCCAGAGCTGACATGCCCGGCGACAAATATTACCAATGGGATACTTTAAGGCCACAACTCTAAAGTGCCTGAACTTGTTTTCAGCACAAAGCGTACAAATTGTGTGCTTAGTTATGTCATTATGCATATACGCCCGAAAGCATAAGTATGTTTATTCAGGTAGACTCTAATGGGTATCATAAGGCTGACAAATGAATTAGTTTATTTGGTACATTTTAAATTATATGGCGATAACTATAAAGTGAATGTTTCCTCATCTGTATGTGATACTATTGAAGACACATGTCAAATTAGGCGACTCTAGCTCTTAAAAGTTAAGAGATTTGCTCAAAAAATAGAATTTCGACAAGTTGTTCTATCGATTGCTTGCAAACGTGCCAAGTTATCGATCATTGAAAATAAACTGCGTTGGCACTAGGAGAATCTACGTTCAAATTTACAAGCCTGTAGCTGTTATAGGTTCTGAGATCCTTGCGTTCATACATACGGACGGACGGACGGACATGTCTAACTCGATTAGGCTATTCATGCTGATCAAGAATATATATATTTAATGGGCTTGGAAATGATTCCCTCTGCCTGTTACATACATATGCACAAAACCAATATTGCCTTTTAACCATTTTCAATAGGTCCACGATATAAAAACTTTATTTGCCACAGATTATTCCTGTGACAGCAAAATTTTATACTATGTCTTTCATCCCTCAACTTCTTGCTCTTTATATCTGCAATATGATTTTGCAATATGCACAGTCTGCCTCAAAATTATAGATTCTGGCCTAGTTTAAGGTCAGAATAGTTGATGAATTGAAAAACAAGAAGATAGACCAGGTTCTTCTATTGATATTGACTTGAGATATGGGCTCGCAGATCTTCTCTGCTATGCATATAAATATCATGCAAAGCAAGACCATGTCTTAGAACTGCAACTGCCCCATATCAAACCAGTGACTTTTCTTGTCAAGAAAACCATCCAATTTCAATATTTTAAATTTATGCATACTTCAGCTAAATTTTCTTTGCATGAAACCCTTTAATTTCGCATAGCCAAGAAGCTAAGGCACTGCGTAAAAGTATGCCCTACGCAGCTATCAAGTTTCCTGCATTTGCAGCTATTTCCACTCATTCTAGCGGATTCATACTCACCCACAACATTAAATGTATATGAGAGCGACATTTTGGGTTCCGTGTTGATTTGGCACTCGTAGACGCCAGAGTCGCGCGGCTGCGGATATTTGATTTGCAGCGTCCAATTGGCCGAGTTATCGGGCCGCAACACCTGCAACAAGCCACAATTCAAAGGCATTAATAAAAGAGAGGGAGGTTGGGGGCGTGGCAAGTGTAGCTCACCTGAAAGCGCTGATCGGAGGTGTAGGTGGTGCTGCCGGCGGTGAGTATATGCAGATCACGTTTGCGTATCCACGAGACCTGCAAATAAGAGAAGTAGAAGAAGAATTAATATTGGAGAAAGTGAGAAGGAGAAAATGAGTAGCTGCGAGATAAAGACTTGTTGTTCACTTGAGCTCTGTGCTCTGTGTCTGCAAAGTTGAAAAGTTTAAAAATTACAAATTCCGCACTTAAAAGTTTCGCCCAAGTGCGTTTAACAGCGCTTTGTGTGCTCGGTGTATCCAGTTTTGTTGCCAGCATTCGTGCCACACTGCCACAGTTGCCACTTGCCACTTGCCACACAAACAAAGCACAAAGTTTACTTTCTTTTTTTGGCTACTTTTATTGGGCGTGTTTGGTACTTTTGGTTTGCTGCTGTTTTTGTTAATCTTAAGCATTTCGCTTTTGTTTCTCGCATTTCATCAATGGCAAATACCAGCAAAGGCAAGAAAACAACGAATATTAAATACCCTTGCGGACGTATTGGGAAATTGGGAAATATTTCCATCCATATTTTGCATTTTGTGAGTAAATTTCCAATTTCATCTCCTGATAATATATGATAAGGTTTCACAATTTGGGACTTGGCATTTATAACTCTATTTAGAATATATCAAAAAGAGAAAGAAATGCTGTCTAAGGCACGTCGAAGTTTAAATACACTAGACATACGTCTTGGAAGTGCATAAGTTCCTTTCCTTTCCGACCTACCTGAATCGGATAATATAATATAGAAATATTCAAAGATAAGCGAAGCTCGTAAAAGTTAAGCTTAGTCGAACTATCTTGAAGCACAGAAAAGTGTTTCATAAAAAAAACCTTACTCTTAATCAAGCATTGCCAACTACATGACATAGTCAAGCGAACCGAACGAATCCGACTTGTGTGAATAATATGGAACACCTTCTGCCGGGGCATAAAAGAAAGCAAACATTAAACCAAAGCCTAAGTGCGTATTATCCCCGTATTCATGTGTGTGAAAAGGGTTGCGCATACGCAACGTTGACAGCTAACCAAAAAAATAGAGAAGGAGAGGAATAGATTTTCAAATGAAAGCAGCTCTTATCGATGCTCAAAGCTACAGTTTTATAGCTACGGCTACATAAATAACTCAGACAATTGCAAAGTCTTTAAGCTGGCGACATTTTGCAGTCGAATGTCCTCGAATTGTTTCAAATGCCCGGGCTCGGCCGGGCCAGGCCCATTGTTGGCCTCTATTTGGCCAATTTTTATTAGAGCTTGAATTACATTTTCATTTGATTGCCTCGCTCCGAGAAACCCTCTCGGCTGGGCTAACCATTAGCCCTGGTTTTGTATTTCGCTGAGATTTCTTTCTTTTTTTTTTCATTTATGCTCCGGCATTTTGGTCGACCTTTGTGCCCTTTTGGCACATTGTTTCCAATTTATTTAATGACCTTAGTTTTGTTTTCACTCTGCCATTGTTGCTGTTGCTGTTGTCGTGATGCTCAATTTTAATTACGCTGGCCAAAAACTTTTGCAATGTCGGCAAGTATGTATATATATATAAATATATAGGTATATATACGTTTATGTATTTAAAAGTGCGCTCGATATTTGCGACTGTCAACATAAATGTAAAATATGCGGCCAAAAAACTTGGCCAGTTCTTCATTAATAGATTTTATGACTTGCGTCCTTGCCTGAGGCAGCGAAGCATGTGCGAAGCATTTGCCAATAAAAAACGGAACCAACAGAACTGACGGAACTGACGAAACTATCAAGTACAAGTAAATAGCGTAAATAAACAATTCTTTACTATCCTTTCATTTTGTATCGCTGCCTTTGCTTTACTTTATTGGCCCTGGCCAGTGTCCTCTGATCCGGGTCGCTTCTAATAAATTCATTCGATTGCCGCTAAAGTCAACACACACACCAACACACACACACACACACTGGCACAACAAAAGCCTTGCCATCAAAATGGAGAAAAGCTGCGAATGGCAACGGTCACGTAATACGTAAAAATAAAATTCATTTGCTTGTAAAAGTTTTATGCGCCAATTTTTATGCTTTCCATCATAGACTTGACTTCGATTCCGAATTGTTGTCCTGCATTCCACGGCGCCAAATAAGCCAATGCATTTGCGAATTCCAAATAAAACGCCTACAATACGACCATAGAAAGGGGTCACGATTCCGAGCAGCTGGACAAGCAAAGCCCCGAAATGGACTTCAAACTAAACCCGTTTACGGCGCGAGGTCAGGCTTTTAATAGAGAGCGATAGATAGAGCGGCAATAACAGCAGACAGATTGACTGTATATTGCCAATAGTTAAGTAATATCTATAAAAAAGAAGCAAGCGTGGCCTAGTTGGGCGTGCGCGACTTGGAGATGCCCTAACCCGCTCAAATGAATAATTTGGAGTTGATGGTCCGATCTTTATATAATTTTCAGGGCTTAGATATGGCATACTAATAAGTATGTATATCAAGGTAAAAACTCGATCTATTAAAATGCATTTTTTGCCATATTTGGGCGAAATGGTCTGAGTTATTTAATATACGGAATATTCCTAATCTGTATATACTAAGCAAGTGTCTACACAACAAGTTTTGTGTCTCTAGCTCTTATAATCCTCGAGTTATGCTTGAAAAACCCAAATGTCAACGTCGATACTTATCGATATTATTAAAGTAAAAGCAGGTATCGATAAAAATACTATCGAAAGGAACATATGTTATTTCGTGCTGATTAGAAGTACGTCTTGCATAAAGAATCATATATTTTTGGCTCTTATTTGAGAGAAAGAGTCCCCAGCAAAAGGGAGAAAGCTAAAATAAAAATATGTTCACTTATGTAGCAGGCAGCTAGCGACACAACAGAGAAGCTGCACCTCCTATCGATAGCTAGTGTTAAGCATTGTTCGATAACTAGTGTTAAGCATTGTTCGATAGCTAGTGTTACTAAGAAAAGAGTGTTAGACAATCATAGAAGATCTGAGAGTCAGTCTTTGGCAGAGAAGCGAATAAAGAGGACGTGGTTTTGACCTGCAGTAATAAGAGACTTTCAAATCATAACGGCTCCTACACTTAGTTCATTTATTTACATTTAGCCGAGCAATTTCTTTCTTTATTCTTTAAAAAAAAAAATACAGCTAATGCTAACATAATAACAAATGCTTAAGTCATCAGTTTCTAAAGCTACTTACTTAGTTTTGTAATCACGAACTACGACATTTTTTTTTTGTAACCAAATCCGTTAATATTTAATTTCCAAGCAAAATCCAAAGGCAAAAGTGAAAAGTTTCTCAACTTTAGAGCCAAAGCTTTTTAGCCAGGTGCACTATACATATATATATATACATGTATCTGATGTGTATATATCTATATTTTGTTTGTGTGTGTTTGTGGACAGCAGTTAGTTCAATTCGCCGTTGCTGAGGGATTTGCCAGCTTGCCACAGGTTGCAGACAGCCAGAGATCCCGTGTTGCCCGCCGAGTCGTGTCCCCAGTGTGTCAGCAACTGGTTGGAGGGGGGGAGAGTAGAGGGGAGGAGGGGCGTGACTGTCGACTGGTAAACTTTGTGCTCGGGGTATAATTTTCGTAATGTCTTTAGGTTTAAATAAATACCACAAGCATAGTTTTATATTATTTAACACTTTGTGTGCTGCTTGGCTTGGCTTGGGCAAAACTTTTGCCTCGGCCTGTTCCAGTTTTTTTGGCCAGCTCAACTACAGCTGCCTGTTTTTTGTTTTTGTCATTTTATAACATTGCCAAATGAAGGAAGTTTTCTCGGTGTGTGTGCGTGCAAACTTGGCGAAAATACATTAAAAACTTTGCTGACGCATTTTCTGCGTCTCTAACCAAGGCACAGACTTTAGACTTTGGACTTTGGGAAGCTCTCGGCCAACTTGAGAGCTGCTACACAGTTGCAGTTATTCTATGTTTGTGTGCGTGTGTGTGTGTGTGGCAACTCTCTCGCTGGCTTTGTCCCAGCCGGAAATGGTGTGAAAATTTCATTAAAATTGTAAAAGCCAAGAAAATGTTGCACACTGTTTGCCGCTTTGTTTTCCTATTTACAAATTGCCTGGCCCCAAAATGGGAAAAACTAATGAACTTTCTCTACAACTAAATGAAATGGTCATCATTTGATCATTTGAGTGCATTCACAATCTGTCTGTGTGTGTGTGTGTGTGTGTGTAAACAGACAATCGCCGGACAAAGTAAATTATGCGCAGCGCGAATAAAGATCTCAACTTTTCACTTTCCACTTTTCATGTTCCACTTTTCTGACTTTTCTCCACTCTTCGAACTGTTTTTGTAAACAAACTTGTTAACCGATTTTTGGGACAACGCGTCAGAAACAAGCAAGCGAACGGCCATGGCATTAAAAAGGGTTCGCTGGCTAAACTTTTCGCTTTGATATAGATATTGAAATGGCCTTTTGTTTTTGAATACACTTGCCAGCGGGCATTTTAACTTCTTGGCAAGGCCGACGACTCTAAGAAGACTGTGTATATATGATCGATCAATATATAGGATTCTACAGATCTTATAGATCCAAGTGTGTAATAGGTCTGTCTTTCTTTTCCTGGCAGGAAAAAAGCATGGAATCATAAAGCTGCCTGGGAAACGATCGGTCGAGAATGAAGTTCTTCTTTGCTTTTGAAGATACTGCGATATCTTGAACATTAACAAAATTCTATAGAATCGAACATCGAACTTCTATATCAAATAACCAATATGGACGAATCTTTTTATAGAGAACTTTTCTGTATCTTAAGGTATATTTACCAAGCTCTTCTATAAGTCGCTTGCCGCTTCTCCTGATATATCTGCAAAACGATCTCAAATCGGACTACTATATTATATAGCTTCTATAGGAATAGTTGGGAGTATGTCAAGCTTTGCTATCCAATCTCCTCCAAGCCATGTCTAGAAGGATAATCATTCCTTCAATTGTGCAAGCGTATTAAAACTTCGGCAACTTGAAAGGCTTCAATTTTAGCTTGTTGTGCGCTAGTATCTTTTTTTCAGCGTGTTTTTTCGTTGTTGTTTTCGTAGCTGTTGCTGTTGTTGTA